TCTTAAAAGTGATAAAAGGTCATTGAAGACTCATCATAATATTTATTTCGTGTGGCTAGACTTTTAATGTCAGCTTTTAGTTTTTTCAGTCTTTCTTCGAATGATTTCATAGGTTTCTTCTTACAATCATTTTCTTGAAGAATTTCCATGGAAGTATTCATATAATTTGGCATTTTTTCTGATAACTCACGTCTCCATACATTATTTCTTAATATAGGAAGCCAAAACCGAGCCCCCAAACATGCATAAAACAGTAAAATGAACTCCCTAGCATTTATGAAAGGCCAAATAACCTCTCCAATATTTCATGCTAAATGAAAATAAGTGAAAAGCTTCATAATACTCATCCCAACGCGCTTGCAAGAGGAGCAAAAATTATTCCAAAGTCATGTCTTAATTCCTTAACTGTTTCCAACATAAACATGCCACAATAATCATAAATATGCCATAGCTTCCTTAGTTTAAGCGAGTAACCAAGTTTAGCTCTTAGGACATGCCCACATGCCCACATTGCCCACATTTCCATTTCTAAATGCACCTGAAGTGAATATCTCAACAATATATCAAAGTAAAATGAACTAGCATGTTTTATCATCCAACAGAGCTATGCTCAATGGCTCGGCAGAGGGAAAACCGAAAGGCAACGAGGCACTGAGAAAAGGGGGGAAGAAGAGTACCTTTCTTTGATACCAATGTAAAGCACCGCAACATAAGAAGCTACCTCAAGGATATGCTCTCACAGAAATCTCCTCCTAAACTTCTCCTACAGCCAAAAATTTCTATCCCTCCTCTCAAAAAACTTTTTCAACAACCCAAAAATCTCAAAAGAAATTATGTTTATAGACAGAGAAGAGAGGAGAAGAGAAAGAAGATCACCCCATGGCTCGAGACTGAGAAAGGGAAAGACCAGGCGCGCGAACGGGAGAAGGAAGGGAGGCAGAGCTCGGGCGCGGAGAGTGGGGATTTAGGGCTTAAAGAGGAAAGAAAAAGATAATCTGGTTTATATAAATTAATAAATATGTACATATATATATATATATATATATATATATATATATATACATATATATTAATTTATATGCGATCTATTCACGCGCGGCATCGTAACAAAATCGGTGTCCTCCCTAGGCAAAATCGATATTCCGGACGCGCCGGAGCAGTCCGTTTTGTCATCCGGGGTCGCTCGGACGACGTCGTCGACGATCAGGTAAAAAACGCGTCAAAATTCAAATTTCACAAAATTTTGATCCGCGATCAATCGTCTCAAAAAGGTTTATTCGAGCATTTGACAAGTAACAGTGCAAGCGACGTGAATTGTGACAATCGGACGTGTCGACTCTCCGAATTGCGAAGTTTTGTGCGCGCGGGAGTGCGAATTGTGCAGGAATTGAGCAGAAGGCCAACCTAAGGCTCGGAAAGGTCCTATAGGAATTTCTTTTGGGTTTCCTTATGTCGGTTTCATCCTTCTAAGTGCTAGAAGTCGATACCACACACGCGAAACCTTCAAAAGAGGACGGTTTTAGGGCAAAAATCAACTTAGGACCCAATCCGAATTCTTAAAGCGAATGACTCAGATATTAGGACATTAATTTCATTCTCCCCTGAAGTCATAGTTTTATCAAAACATCCAAAATTTCCCTCAAGACCAGACCAAGTATCCCGCGCCTTCTGCTTTTATGGACTCTCGCTCACGCGGTCGGATGTGTCTTCTGCATTCGTGGATTCTTGCTCCCGGATACTCACATCAATCTCCAAGAATTGGGGGAGCTTCGATCTCAATTTTTTGTCTTCTCATGGTAAGGAGTTAGGTTGACCACATTGATGGTGGTGGAGCTACTGTAACTTTCCGGTAAGTCGATCATGCTGGCATTGATATTCCAAAGCACATTATGGTAGAACAAGTATCCATCCTCTTTTGAGACAACTTGAGTTAGAGCTACATATAAACATAAGATTATCACAAGTCAAATCTCGAGCAATTTAATCTTTAATCTGTTTCTTTTAGTTCTCTTACTTATTTGAGTTTATTTGATTAACAAGTTAGGAGTAATTAATTCTGGAACAAAATCGATGGTGGGCTAGACCATAATGAAGTGTAATCGCTCATGAGTGGTGTTTTAATCCTTTCTGAAAGGACCTGGATCCTACTCTAGGATGTTTTTTTCCCACAAAGATCTTGAAACATTTCCAATGTAGTTCATCCATTCAGTTGGACCATCTGTTGGTGGGTGCATTGTTGAACTAAATTTAGTCCCCAAATGACTCCATATAGTCTTCTAGAAGTACCTCAAAAGCTTCACATTTTTGACAATTTGGATCTTCCTTAGTTGGGGCAACTCAGGAGATAGGCTATATGTCTAAAATTTTAAAATTCTCTTATATGGGGTTGTCCTGTGTCTGGTATCGGCATATCAAACTCATCACTCATTTGGACATCCAATGCTAGACCGGCTAATGCTCCTCTCAACGCTTGCAAAAAGATAGTTTGTACCACCATATTCTAATACTCTGCATGAACACGCATTATCCCCAACTCACTTCCTTTTAGAATAACTATTATTAATTGCGCCGGAGTATCTCTCATGGGCTTGCTTGAATTATATGCATCTTTCCTTCATCAGTTGGTAGTTGGCACTCCTCTGTGCCATCACTTTCTTCAGTATATACTGTGTCATATTGCAGTTGTAGGATTTCCGACTGCACTTTTTTCATGGAAGTTCCTGGACATCTCTTTATGACATTTCCTCTTGATCAGATCTTTGATTATTTTCTCTTTGGTGGTATGATTGAGATTTATGTTTGGGTAGGTGAGATAGGTTATATGGGTGTGATGTTGCACAAGAAAGAAAAAATTTGGGTTAGGTGGGGGGCTTAGGTAAATCTTGAATAGGATTAGAGCTAAGCTAGCTTTAATACCAAGTGATACTGGAGTTAACTCAAACCACAATAAGAAAGCAAATATTATTATTGAAAAATTCAATAGGCGGTTATAACCACACACAAAAATGAGAAATAATAATGAAACGACGTAGGACTCACGACCAGGGTGGATCTCGAGTGGTGGGAGTGGTCTTTAGGGGGTTTGGAAGGGAGCGACAATGATTATGGGCTGCTGGAATAACCAGGCAGTAATTTGCTGCTTGGGAGCGGCAACAGCGAGGGAGAAATAAGATAGGGGCGAGGGCAACCATGTGGAAGAGTGGGGGGCTGGTAGCTGCATGGGTAGAAGAGCTGGAAGGTTGGTAGGTGGCATTGAGGTATGGGGGTTGTTGGCGACAATAAAGTTTCTATTTCAGGGTTGGCTGTAGAAGTTATGACAACTGCGATAACAGAGGGAATGTGCAGATGATGGGAAAAGTGAAGGATAAAGATCACATCTGGAGTGAGATACAAGCTGAGCACCACTAAACCCTTGAAAGAGAATCACCACCTCTAAACGAGGTACAACTGTAATGCCACTCGCCTTTGGATACAATCTTAGACTGGAAAAAAATTTATGTTGACGGTTGTCTTGATAGAAACATAATAGAAAATTAAACTAAAATATAAAACAATATACTTATAGACCTAGGATAACTAAGGATTGGACCCCTCTACTTGAAAGGGGCGATACCCATTTTGGAGGAGTTTGCTGGTTCTCACAGTGCTTGGATTGAATTGGTCTAGGTATCCCACGCTTTCTTAATTTGTGGTCTTCCGTTCTCGGGACCGGTCTGTGCCTTCCGCATTCGTGGATTCTTGCTCCCAAATGCCTGTGCTAGTTTCTCGGTGTTGAGGGGAGCTTCGACCTATTCTGTCAAAGCTTTTGTCTTATCATAGTATGGAGTCAAGTAGACCACATTGAAGGTGATGGAGCTACTGTAACTTCCTAGTAAGCCAATTTTGAAGGCGTTGACATTTCAAAGCATACTCTGGTACAATAAGTATCAACTATCTTTTAGCACAAACTGAGTTGGAGCCAACATATAAACATAGATTGTCATGAGCTGAATCTCGAGCAATTGAATCTACAATCTGCTTTTGTACTCGTTTGAGACTCTCTGATAAAAAAATCTATTAGGAGTAATCAATTTTTGAATGAAATCAATGTTGGGCTGGACTACATTGAAGTGTCATCATTCAGGAGATGCCTCTTTTTTCTTCTTCTCTAAATGGTTCTAGATCTTGCAGTAGGATGTTCTTTTTCACGAAGATCCTAAGGTGATATCTAATAGAAGCGGCTGACGGTGATGGTGGCAGCAAGAGCAGCAAATGACGGTGGTTACAACTGGAGCAATATTCAACTATTACAAAAGAAGCAGACGATTGCTATAGTGGAAGTAACAAGTAACGATGGCGATAATGGCATCAAAAGCAGCGACGGTGATGTTTACGGTGCAGGTACCAAAAGCAGTAGATGACGATGCTGGAAAGATTGATTAGGGAGAGGGGTACTTTCATGCATAAGAGTGCAACTTTGATTCATATTCAAACCATTTAATGCTGGAGGAAAACAAACCTAAGCGTAAGTGGCACATGCATCAGCGAAATTGAGTGGCGGGCCTTAAGGTGCGTCTCTACTATGTGAGGTGTACGCTGCCCGAGCTGCTCGAGGTGTATGCCTCAGCATTTTTTCTTCATAATTGTGTGGAGGATCTCAAGACGCACCTAAGATTGCATAATTTTAAACAATGACCGTGAGTTTAGGGTATTTGAATTTATTGCAGGAATAGGGGAATGTTTTGGGGGATTGCTTTGGCAAAGATTTCTGCATCAGCATTTGTTCTTTTTTCTTAATGCTTTGCCCCATTTATTTCTTTACTGTCTTTCAGAGCTAAATTACTAAAATCAAGACTATAATGCTAGAAGTTGTATGTAAGTGCAAATTTAAACCAAATTCGGAACAGAAGTATATCCTACATCAAAACAATTTCATCAGAACTTTATTTAAGCAATTCTTGTCAATAAACTTACTTCTGCTGCATATCGTCTAAAATTTTCATTAATCTTCTGTACTGCAGAGACAACGAGTATTCTGCTGTGAAAAAATCAATTGATGCATTTAGCAATATTCTTTTCTCTTCTGGAACTACAGGTAGCGATCATCATCCCACTAACTAATATTTTCTTTTACAATGTGTCTTTTCGAAAGAGTTATGCTGTTTCTTATCCTTTATTTATTACCAACCGGTTTAATTTAATATGTTATCTGTTCTAGATTAAGTTATTATAAGGAAGCTGATAGGGACGGGAGGAATCTGGCACTCCCGTCACCCTAGATACGCATGGGAGGAATCCTGTGCTGCGTGAGCTGGTCCAGGTCTAGACCGGCCAGAAGAAGCCAAACGAGCAGACCCGGCCTAAATCTGGTCCGGTTGAAGGGGCCCTCCAGATTTTTGATCTTGTATAGAAAGAAAGAGAATTAAAGAGGGGGCTTTTGGGGGGGAAATTTTAAAGGGACTCTTGCGAGTATGTCTTAGTGTCTAAGGGTTAGGGTTTGTTTTTTTTTTTAATGCATTTTTTGTTGGCTGCTGCGTTCTTTTCTTCTTGTGGTGTTCCTAGTGACTTCTAGGGTTGTGGGAGAGACGATCTACCTTTCAAACAGTAGATCATCATTGTATCTTATTTTCCTTTGATTTGTGTAATAGCAGCCTCATTTGAGTTTTTCCATCTATCTGTTGCCGTTTTGTCGTTGATTGCTTGTTGATTTTGGTTTCGGAGCGTATCAACTTGGTATCAGAGCAATATCTTGGAAGAATAACGGTAAAGACAGTGGATATGCTAGAAGGAGAAGTTGGGCAAATCAGATTGAGAATGGAAGAGAGGTTTGCCACCATGGAGGACAAATGTTCTTCCATAGAGAGCTGAATGGAGGACGGATTTGATAACATAGGAGAAATGCGAGAGATGATGAGTAAGCTCGTGGAGATGCAATCCAAGGCCATTGACCATTTCGATTGCAAACTCTATCCAATGGTTGATCAGAGAATCTTTGACTAGGTCAAAAGGGAAGGAGATCGAACGAGAGGACAACGAGGACATCATCTACCACCAAGAGCGTCCCCCTAGGACTCCGAGAGGAGGGGGGAGTGGAGACTTACGATGGAGGGGGCTGAGCTGAAAATTTGAGGAGAAATGGTGCAAGGGGCACGAAAGAGTATGAATGAGGGAGGAAGGAGGGAATCGGGAGTTCGATACGACTATGACAGGAGGAGGGAGTTTCATCCTAGACATGTGGAGAAATGCTGGAGGAAGAGGAATTTGGGGTGGAGATACAAGGGTCAGAAAACAAAAGACACTAATCTTCGAAGGGGAAGATACACATGCGTGGGTGTATCAGGCAGAGCGATACTTTACAGTCAATGGGTTAACAGAGGAAGAAAAACTCATGGTAGCGGGATTATGTTTGGAGGGAAAGACTTTAGTGTGGTTTCAGTGGATGGAGGGAAGATATCCGATGCACTCGTGGGAAGTGTTTATGGATTACTTGTTGGAGTGTTTCCGAACCATTTGGAAGGGGACCTACATGAGTAATTTTATGCTCTAACTCAGGAGGGGATGGTTACAGAGTACAGGGATTAGCTCAAGCTCTTGTCAGGGAGGTTGAGGGGTATTTTTGCATCAGGACTGGAAGGGAACTTGTTGAAAGGCCTAAAACCCGACATATGAGTAACTATCCGACCATTGAGACCGCGTGGATTGAGGGAAATGATGGAGCTCACATAGATGATGGAGGACAAGAAATTGGTGAAAAAGACCATCAAAGGTGGCAACACAGGAGTATTCTACAAGAGTGCCTGGACAACCATGACACCGAGGACCCAGACGGTGTCATTTCAGAAAGAGACACCAATAGATAAAAATACTGGAACCCGTTCCAAGGGCAATTTCAAGCGTCTCACCTATGCATGTGTAGGATAAAAGAACAAAATGATTCTGTTATTATTGCAAGTGATATGCTCTAGGCCACTGTTGGAAGGAACATGCCCTTCAGATCCTTTTAGTTTAGGAGGAGACTGAGGGTGAGTAATCGGACGAAGACGTGGTGGAGGAGCATCTGCATTTGGTTGTAGCGGAGGTGTCTCTAATTCGGTGGTGGGATTCACTCCAAATGAGGGGGCAGATTTGTGAAGAGGAATGGGTAACAACTGATGTGGTGTTGGTGGATAGCAGAGTCACACAAATCGGGTCGTAGATCAACTAAGGTTGGAGCTGGTGAATACAAGGGGCTTCAGCGTCATGATGGGGACAGGGAAGGTGGAGAAAAGTTGGGGAATTGACAAGGGGTTGGTTCTGACACTAGTAGTGGAGGACTTCCTTTCTTTGGACTTGGGCAACAGATGTAATTCTGGGGATGAAGTGGCTATAGGCGCTTGGGGAGATGTAGGTGAACTGGAAATTCCTAACATTGGAGTTCCAAGTGGAGGGGGAGGAAGGTCATGCTGAGAGGGGATCCTAGTTTATGCAAAACCACGATCAAGTTGATACGGGGAGCGTGGATGGGCTACTTGATGGAGCTGCAGAGCATTGAGGGATTCCGAGATCTCGAGTTGGCAAAGTTTCCCGAAGGGATCCAGTAACTCTTACAACAGTTTACGAACATCTTTCAACAGCCTAGCAGGTTACCACCACCAAGGGAGCACGAGCATGTCATTACATTTAAGAAGGGTGTCCCTCCTATTAGTGTGAGACCTTACCGGTATCCTTAGATTTAGAAGGATCAAATAAAGAACTTGATCCGAGAGATGCTTGAGGTTGGGTTATCAAACCCAGTTTGAGCCCTTTCTTCAGTCTAGCCCTGTTGGCGAAGAAAAAAGATGGTAGCTGGAGGATTTGTGTGGACTATCGGGCCTTGAACAAAGAGACAGTATTGGATAAGTTTTCTGATCCTGTGATTGATGAGTTACTCGATGAGATTTATGGGGTAGCCATTTTCTTGAAAATAGATCTTAAGTTATGATACCACTAGATCAGGATGAATCAAGCGGATGTGCACAAGATAACGTTCAAGACACATGGAAGTTCTTGGTGATGCCGTTTTGACCATCTTCCAGTCCCACATGAATAGGGTTTTTCAGCCTTACCTCAGGAAATTCATCCTGGGCCTCACCAACGTTTTGACCATCTTCCAGTCCCACATGAATAGGTTTTTTCAGCCTTACCTCAGGAAATTCATCCTGGTTTTCTGCGATGACATTCTAATATACAGTTGTAAGAGACCGAGCATGTGGAACACTTGAGGAAAATGATGGAGAAGTTAAGAGAGCACCGATTATATGCCAATTTGAAGAAATGCTCATTTGCACAACTACAAGTGGAGTACCTCAGGCATGTGGTGACCAGGTTAGGAGTAGCAGTAAGTCCATCCAAGATTGAGGCTATGATGGACTCACATTTACACAGGAGCTTGAAGGAGTTGAGGGATTCCTAGTTCTCACCATATATTACCGAAAATTTGTGAAGGGGTGTGACACGATAATATGGCCACTAACGGAACAGCTGAAGAAAGAAAATTTCAAGTGGGGGAAGCCGCAACACAGGCCTTCGAACATCTGAAGAGATTCATGACTAGTGTACCGGTATTAACACTTTCAAATTTTAGTAGACCATTTGTGGTAAAGAAAGATACACCAGGGTACGTATTGGAAGCAGTACTAATGCAAGACCAGCAGCCGATTGCTTACTTCAGCCAGGGGCTCAATGCTACGGCGTTATACGAGTGTTAATAAATGGCTATTGTCTTGGTTATTCAAAAGTAGCGGCCCTACCTTTTGGGAAGCCACTTTATTGTTAGAACATATCAGAAGAGCTTGAAGTACCCGTTAGCAGAGGATGGTGGCGAGGAGCAGAGGAGGTGACTATCCAAGTTGTTGGGATATAATTTTGAGATCTAGTACTGACCAGGGTTGGAGAATAAAGCAACAGATGCCCTGTCGAGGATGGTGGAGGAGCCCCAGTCGATGGCCTTATTGGTACCCTTAGTCTTCGATTGGGAAGCACTGAGGCGGGGAGTGAGTTAGATGAGGAACTGAGGATGATACCAACAGAGTTGCTACAAAATACAAACAGTCTTCCGGAATATGTCGTGAGGGGACAACTTCTCTACTAGGAACGGTTCATGTTACTAAGAACATTGGAGTTTTCCCAAACTATTACAAGAGTTTCATGATAGTGTGATCGGGGGGCACTCAGGCATACAAAAAACATACACTTGTCTAGTATCAGAACATTATTGGGTGGGGATGCGCAGAGACGTAAAAGTCATGGTAGTAAAATGCGATGGGTGCCAAGGTCACAAGTGCTTGACCATGACACCTGGAGAGTCACTACGACCATTAGCATTACCAGAAAATGTTTGAGAAGAAGTGACGATAGATTTTATCAATGGGTTACCACGGTCAGGATGGTTCACGGTGGTCATGCTGGTTGTGGATCATTTGAGTAAGTATGCACATTTCACTCCTTTACGACATCCCTACACTGCGGTCTCAGTCGCAGTGATGTTTATTCGAGAAGTGGTTAGTTTGTATGGTTTACGACATCCCTACACTGCGGTCTCAGTCGTAGTGATGTTTATTCGAGAAGTGGTTAGTTTGTATGGGGTGTCAGAATCAATTGTATCAGATAAATACAAGGTGTTCCTAAGCCATTTCTAGAAAGAGCTATTCATGTTGCAAGAAACAACGCTTAAGAGAAACACCCCATATCATCCCAAATCGATGGACAAACGGAGGTGATCAACAGGTGTGTGGAGACATACCTGTGTTGTTTTGTTTCCAATACGCTAAAGCTATGAGCCTGGTGGATTGCGTTGGCTGAATATTAATATAATACTTCAGACCATACATCGACGCAGACCACCCATTTCAAGATATTGTATGGGCAGGATCTACCTCACTCAATACATTATGGGCATAACGCAACATCGGTATCCAACATCGATCAATACTTGGAGGAGAGGGACGGAATATTGGCTGAGCTCAAGGGACATCTACTAAGAGTTCAACAAATCATGAAGAGGAAGACAAATGGACATAGAAGAGGGGTACAGTTCGAGCTCGGGGACATGGTTTACTTGAGCTGAGGCCCTACCGG